GAAAGACCCTAGAGCTACAGCTTGAGTGGTACAGAAGAAGGACTGTCTGAAAAAAAATAATCCTGTAGGCTAGATTTCCCCCTTGAGTAAATTCTTTTCTGGGTAAGATGAAGAAGGGCAGTGTCTAGGCTTATTTTATGGTTGGTGTTGCATTTAGGAATAAAATTACAGTTAAGAGAACAAGAGGAACTGTGGGATAACTGTGTTTAGGAGTCTGGAAAATCCTCTAAGAAAAGGAACAGTTGATACTTGAATTTTCCTCTCAGGGATGTGGAGACTCAGATAGGAGCAGGAACCAGGGCCAGGGCAGTCAGCCTATGACTTGGGATTCTTAGGGTTCAAGAAAAAATAACCACAGAAATCCAGTCGGAGTGTAGCTGCAAAGGGTCTGCCACAAGAAAGATGCAAGCTGCAGAAACACTTGACCCCTGGAAGACTTTTTCATCCGGGCTGTGGTGCTGGTTCTTGGAGTAGGGTTCAGCCAAGACAAAGGCCAAGGGTTCGGAAAGGGAGAAAGCCACAGTTGGAGTGCAGCTGCCAAGGGGCTGCCCAAGGAAGGGGTAGACTGCAAACAGAATTGTCTTCTGGGAATCTGTTCACCTGAACACTGGCTAAGTGTGCTCGGATAGGATCCAGGCAAGGCCGAGGTCAAGATTAAACCTTAGATTATGGTTAGGAAAGGGAGAAGGCCTAGCACTGTGGTTGGAGTGGTGCAAAGGGGCAGCCAAAGGAAGGTGTGGGCAGCAAAAGCGTTGTCCCAGAGAACATTTTGATCTGGCAGATCTTCAGCAAAGGCTCAGCTGATACTAGGATTAGGGCTAGGAAAGAGACAAACTGTAAAACTAAAACCATCCAAGTTAAGATGAACTCTATGTGAAACCCCAGTGCCATGACCCAGTTGAACAAGTTGTCTAGGGAGAATTTTTTATGCAGCATACCCCTGCAGTCCCACTGCAAGTGCAGCTCAAGTCTTTGTCTCTTTTCTAGCCCAAACCGTAACTCTAACCCTAGGCCTGGGCCCCATGACCCACATCAACAATGTGTGAGGAGAGAATTCTTTCAGCAACCTATGCATTCCTGGGCAGCCCCTTTGCAGCCCCAGTCCAGCTTCAGCTGTAGGACTTGTCCCTTCCCTCACCGTAACCCTCAGCCTTGTCCTTGGCTGAACCCTAGCTCAATGCCAGTGCCACAGCAGTCCTGCTGTCCTGAGGGCACAATTCTTTTGGCAGCCTTGATTTGTCAACCCCTCTGTAGCCTCTCTCGAAGAGCAGCTGTAGGCTTTGTCCCTTTCCTAACCAACACCCTCAACCTTGACACTGGTCCTGGGCCTCACCTGAGCCTTTGTCCAAGACCCAGTGCTCTGGCCCGGATGAACGAGTTCTTAGTGGACAATTCCTTTTACAGCTTTCCCCTCAATTTTTCAGCCTGTTTGCAGCCCCAGTCCAACTGGAGCTCTAGGCTTTCTCTTTCCCCTAACTGTAAGGGAATCCTAATCCAAATCCTAACCTATGCACATGCTGTACTTTATATCCATATTCCCAGGCAAGGCAGAGCTGAGAAAATTTTCAGGGAATCACCCCCCACCCCCGCTTTATTTTGGCTTTATGTTGCAGTCCTATTACAACCAGAGCTCTAGGTTTTCTCTCCTTCTTAGACCTAACCCCTAAGCATTGCACTTGGTGATGGTATCAGCTTTCTCACAAGTTGTAACCTTACCATGTTCGGTTGCCACCATTTGCACTCCCATCCCAGACTCAACTATTTCGATACCAGAATTCTGGCATCAACTTGTCTTTCTTAGTTTTCTGGAACTTTCCTAGAGCCCTTAAAGCTGTAATTCTGGGGTTTCCTTTTCTCTCTTTCCTTAATTTTATGGACAGAGACACCAATCACATCACAGGTACTGTATTCATCTGAATGACCATTCTGTCTATTCAGCCTCAGCTCTTACTTTCCGTTGTCGGATCTTTTTCTTGCCAACGTAGCTTTGAGTTTTCTCTTTGTCTCAGCTCCAACCGTAACCCTAAGAATAGGGGAAGCTTATGGCAAGGAAATTCAACCCTTGTCGAGACAAAATTTTCTCAGTACAGAGATCTTTTTGCAGATCAGACTTTTCTTTGTCAGTCTTTTTTCAGACCCATTCCTCTGGAACTCTTCAAGTAGAGAGTTGTTTGGTGGTTTTTTTTTAATCTGTACCAATATGTTAACCTACCCTACCAGCTAGCCAGTGTGTGTGCTCTGTCCCAGTGTTTGGTGTTTGTAGGTATGAATTCTATGTTCATGATTTCTTTCTCCAGCCCTATTATCCTACAGTTGTATCTCTAGGTGTTATTTCTTTCTTTTAACATGTTACTTTAATTGTAAACATTACCTCTGTTGCACTATGACAGCATTGTCTGTCATTAATAAAATCAAATAATGAAGAAACATTTGAGGCAGAAGCATAGATTTCTGTTTGGGTTTGGTATTTTTTGCCCCTACAGAAAAACTGTCTTTGAATTCCACTGTTGGCTGCACTCTGTAAGAAAGACAATCATGCATATTGGATTTTCAGGAGTCATCAACAGCTCCAGCCAGGTCCTTAGCTCAGTCAGTTGTAAGGCCAGCATGCTGCAGTGCTCAGTTATAAGGACCACCTTTGAAATGTGGAAAGTGATGCTGGTTTGGGGGTAATACCAACACGACTTGCTGCCTTGATATATGGGTAAAGCAGTATGCAAAAAAATTTTTCTTGTGATAAAAAACCTGTTATTTTCTTTTGGCTTCTTTTGTTATCTGCTTATGAGCGGGTTTCCATTGCTAAATTATCGGTTAATAGCGCTTTTCATTTAACTCCCAGCAAGTTACGTTCACATCTGTAGGAAAGTCCAGACCTGTAGGGCTGTCAATACAGAACAAAATTAAGTATCCATAAATTTGAATCTATTATATTTTCAGTTTGACTTGAGGGGATGAATTTTTGATGGAATAAAGAACGACACAAATATTTTTTTCCTCCTGAATTGCTTAGAAATAATGTTATACAAAGCACTTTTTTATGGTTAGGCACCTCATTGATAGTATTTGCATTTTATTTTTATTCTTTTGCTACATAACTAACTAGAAAGTCATGTTTTGTTTAAATGGCTTGACTATTTTGAAGCTTAGGAGAGAATTATGGGTTGGACTGTGGCTGTTGGCAGTGCTAGATGGCATATTTGAAGAAGCTTTCCTTTTAGCCATTAGATAAAGTAAGTTCTGTTAAAAGTTTACTGAAGGAAGGGTATATATTTTTTTTTTCTGTGTTTGAGTCTTCAGTAATGCCAGTGGGAGTTTTGTTCAAAACTCTTAAGAGAACGTAGCTAATTACACGAAGAATAGTTTCCCTTTTCCTGCCTTCCTTCCCCGTCTCTTCCCTATCCCTTCAGATTCCTTCAAAATACAATCTTCCTATCTGGAAGTGCAATAGTCATCTCCCATAGTCGTAAGGAAGTCAGCATTTCAGCAACAGTGAGATGACTTCTAAATGGTAAATTAGTTGTCATTTCACCGAGCCTAAGCTCGCATAACTTGTTCAAATGCCTGCATATTTTCATGCTTGTTATTCTTCCCAGGTGGTGTTAGCTTCCTGGGAGAGGTGATTATTTTGAGCAAGCAGGTGGTTTTTCTGAATTACATAGGTCCTTGCAGGTACTACACACTGTGTGCAATTTTTCAACTATGATGAGGCAGAGCTGATTCTTCCTTGTTAGCACGTACATGAAAATATGGAAAAATATTTCAATGTTTATCTGAAGAAAGCTAGTTCAAGGAATACAAAAAAAGCCTGGACTTTTATAATTGGAAACTGGGAATGCTGTGTATCTTTCCTCCAAGTTATATTTCCAAATCATCTTATCTAAGGATTCTCAAATGAAAATCAAATCTAACTTAACATAAAACACATATATCCGTGTCCTTTATTGTCTCAAAGATTTCCTTTATTTATAAGCTGGATCAAGCACTTGAGAAACAAGTAGGACAATCTGACACTATCACCAAGAGAACTTTTGCTGCGATACTTTTAATATTAGTTTTGATTTAATCTCAAACTAAATATAACTCAATGAAAACTTGCTGTGTATTTAATCAGTGTTCAGGGAAGCAAACTACTACTGTATATTGTTTCTCCTTATAAAATATTTCAAGATTTTGATGGAAGTTCCATATCACTGTGGCACATTCATCCACCTGATATCAAAGATTTACACTATGAATTTCATGTGGTGTCAAAAACTCCACAAACTTAAGCTGCATTTGATTAGCAAGTGTTGCACTTAGGAAAAATTGCTTTTTACACAGATTACTATTATAATTTTAAGTAACATGCCAAAATGGGATTTCAGCCTTCTCTACATTCCATTTTGACCCTGAACTTTTCCCAAAGATCAATACAAGTTTATTCATTTGAATTGCCCATATTCTGAAACTTCTGTTAATAAAAAAGCGTTAGTAATCAAAATTGATGTTGATTCTTCATTTCTAGCATAATATGGAGAATGATTATTGCACTAATTATATTAATAGAGTAATATATACTGTGCTATTCATTTCTCATGGCCTGAAATATTAATTAGATCTTATTTGTAGAATGACAGTTCACACATAAGATGACTCAAATTCTTAAATGGTTTCAGATAATAGATGTCCAACAAAACCTTGGTATCTGTTAAAAATATACTTCCCCTTCAAGGGCTATATTTGCAAACAGTGAGTGTAAATTTTTTGTCACAAGGCTTTGGCATAAATTCATATCTTCTGTTACACAGGAAGTATGTATTGTATGTCTGTATGATGTACACATATGAACATACATATATTTGAGCAATGATAATGTCTTTCTTGTTACTTATTATTATTTCACAGGAAGAGTTCATGAATTACTTCTTTTACTAGAACTGACTGGAGAACTGTCCTAAAAAAGGACCTTGAGCACGTAGGAGCACTGTCTCCTAATTCTGCACATAGTTCTAGGTTGTTACCTCTCCTTCAATATGAAAGAATGGCCACTGCAGCCCTTTAAACCCAAACCTCTCAAAGGTCTTTAGAGTTTTCTGTTTCCACAGCAACATATCTATGACCTCCTTCAAGTTTCCCAGCATCTCTTTTTGTAAAGTCCTGTGGGATGAGCATGGAGTACACCATGTGCTATCAAAATCCCATGCCTTGTTGTTCCATAATGTGCTGCATTTGTGAATACAGTCCTAAATTGTATAAATCTGGTTTGCAGCCATATAACATTGCCAACCCCGGTCTCATTCACTTTCAGCTTTCACCCCTGGGATTTCTATATCATTAATCTTACCCACACCTCTCCACCAGACTTGAGTGTTTTTGTATCTGTTTTTAATTGGATTTCCCCGGGTATATTAGGTTGTATTTTTTTCGGAAGAGGACACTCATTTTGCTCCTTTTGGCACAGATTTCTAATCTCTCTGGGTGTCTTTGTGTCATGTCATCTAACTCATTGCTTTTCACAGCTCCATTCAACAGGACTGTTTTCAAGTAACTGTCCTGCTCACTCTAACTGAAACCAGCACTAACTGATCTCCAAAGCCAATCAGTAGGCCATTACCTTTCACTCCTGTCTAGGGTGAAAGCCCACATGATAACCATTTTTACGTTACCCAATTTGAATGATTCCACAAAGCAATTGCAGTTTAACTTTTATTTCCCCCCATATTCTTTCTCATTTCCAAGTGTGAATGAAGCCATTCCGTATCTGTCTGCTAAAAACAGCCACATGCCTCTAAGCCCATCTTCCAGCATGGGCTGTGGGCAGTATAGGATACATTTCAGTAAGATGAGTACAATAATAGAAACCAAGTGGAAGTTGCAATCGTGAATTTATTATCTTCATTATTAGTTTATGACTGCAAGTGATGATGAAATTGTTGGGTTTTGGAGTACTAAAATGTCTTCTGCGTCCAGAGTATCCATTATGCTATATGTTTGTAGTTATTCCTGGATGATTAAAATATAAATGGAGAGGAAATAATCTGATTTGCATAATAACATGAATGACTGATTGTTGTTTTTTGTGTATCTGTGAACGGTAATGGTTTTTTATGTATTATTAAAAATTCATTTTTTCCTGACATTTAAGTGAGACAAAGGTTGAATGCAAAATGATTCTTGTGCTCTTCAGCTGGAACACCTACAATATAAAGAACTTATTAGAAGGAGGAAAAATGTGGAAGATTTATTTGATTGAATATTTCAAATCTTTTATCTGATTAATATTAATTGCTCATATTATTTTAATTGAATACATAGAGGAGGGTGAATAAAATCAGGTTAGAAGTGATCTAATAAAAGGTATCTGTCCTGTAAAGTCAAATTTTAATTAATCTGTTAGTGTATCAACCTTTTCATGATAGTATTCTGCAGCTTTGGAGTTATTAATTTTATCCAAAAGCCCTATAGGCTATTTTTCATCTGCAAGTGCTCCAAATCTGCGACACATCACTTGGTACTAGCATTCTCCAGTTTAATTCCTGCGCTGGAATGAAAAGCCACAAAATGTCCCATTGTGCTATACAATAATGTGGAAATGATATCAGATGCTATAAGCAATTTCTTTTTTTTTAACATCTTTAGAGGCATGGTTTGGGTTCTGACCTGCTGCAAGGCTGTGTGATGCCTTGTTGCCATGCAGACAGTGATTATAGTGAAGGTGGGTCGCAATTATATTGAACTAGTCTGCCCGTATTCACTTTTGGTTATTATCTGCATGTGGAGTGTTTTCATTAACCATGCACTGGAAACATCCTGACTGAAATAAGCATCTTCTGCTATTTGATTTGTGCCTATGTATGTGTGTATGTGTAACGATTACTGCAGTACTTAGAGGAATGCCAGAATAGCATGTAGTCAAATGTGAAATTCACCTCAGGGAAATTATATATTGTCAAAGAAATCAGTTTCTACAAAACCTTTTAATTGCTAAGTAGTCAGAAAGAAACCATCAAAACACCCATAGCAACCACTGTCAGGGTTGCTGACCAAGTGAAAAAGTCTGCTGTGAGCTCTGTTACTATGGATATATATGAAATACATGCAGGAGTTCCTAGTTAAGTTTCATTTCTTGTAAATTCCAGACCTTTGGCATGTTGCTTATAGCCAAAGTGGAGAGCCAGATCTTTGATTGCTGCATCCGTCTCATTCACCAGCTGTACAAAGCCAACAAAAGGGCACCGAAATGGAGTAGCGGACAATTCCCAGGGAGAGGGGAATTCTCCATTAGGATGTGTTTTGGAAAGATATGGAAGGGAATAGGAGGAAAATCAAAGGTCTGTAATAGGCAGAAGCAGAGCGAGACTTCAGATAGAAGTAAAAAATGGATAGCTGTGTGGCATTGCTGGAGGATGGAGACATGCGTCCCCCTAAAAAGCAGTACTGTTCACACCCGTGTAGTACCATTCCTGAGAATACTTCTCAGGTTCATACCACGTATGGAGAAGCAAACTTGTCTGCTTTTGGTGCCAGGAGGCTTATGAACACTGAAGAATCTGTCCTTTGGGAACTGAATTTACTAAGAAGCCCTCCTGCAACCGGCTGCCTGCTGCAAATAACCTTACACAGGTCTCTCAGCTCTGTAGGATATGGAGAGTCTCACAATTTTTACAAGGTACTGTACAGATACATCAAGCTTTTGTGTTATGAGGTGGCTGGAAAATACTGGGTGTATTAGTGATTTATATTTTCTCATCTCTGAGTTCAATGTGTGAAACACTAATGCATTAGCAATATTTATGGAGGGTAATAAAGAAGATTAATTCACTTGTAACGACTACTGATGAGCTGTTTTTCCTTAATGCTTCCTTTTTTATAAGAAGATTTAAGTACCTAACACTTTGTATTCCATGGAGAAAACACAAGGACTTTATTCCCTTCTTGTATTATTCAATATAGGCATGAAAGAAGGCTAATGGCATACTGTGCTGCAGTAGGCAGAGCATTGCCAGCAACTCGAGGGAGGTGATCCTTCCCCTCTACTCAGCACTGGTGAGGCCACGTCTGGAGTACTGTGATCAGTTCTGGGCTCCCAGTTATGAAAGGAACAGGGACATACTGAAGAGAGTCCAGTGATGGGCTACAAAGACGATTATGGCACTGGAGCATCTATCCTATGAGGACAGTCTGAGAGAACATTTCAGTCTGGAGCAGAGAAGGCTCGAGGGGGTCTTATCAATGTACAAACATACTTGAAGGTGGGGTGCAAAGAGGATGGAGCCACGCTCTTTTCAGTGGTGCCCAGTGACAGGACCAGAGGCAATAGGAACAAACTGAAACACAGGAGTGTCCCTCTGAACATCAGGAAACACTTTTTTCTGCTGTGAGAATGACCAGGCCCTGACACAGGTTTCCCAGAGAGGTTGTGGAGTCTCCATCCTTAGAGATATTCAGAAGCTGTCTGAGCAACCTGCTCTAGATGGCCCTGCTTGAGCAGAGGGGTTGGACAAGATGACCTTCAGAGGGACCTTCCAACTTCAGCCATTTTGTGATTCTGTGGTTAAGCTAGAGTGGTATTGGTGAGGATGCGATTTTGGAGGAACTGCAACAGACTTCTACCCAGAAATGGTAAACATACATGCTGGAATTCTTCTAATGGGACACGGTGTATGGCTTCTGCGTCTCTAAAAAAAAGTCACAAATACGTCAAAGAATGAAATGTTAGGTGTGGCTTTGTATGTTGAGTATTTGCAAGAAATGAGGAATTTCCAGTATGTATGAAGAGTCTTGCAGATCCCACTAATTTCATTCATTTTACCACAAGTATTAATATATGCTGTGTCTGCTCATTAATCAAAACACTTTTATTTACTTTTTGCTGTTTCACCAACCAAGGAATGAACAGTAGAAATCCCAACAACAGATCACCTGCTTTCTATTAAAAATAGATTCAACCACCCACTGTGTCCAGCTGATAGAAGTTGCACTCTTCTATTAAGATTTGCCCCTTTTTTTTCTTCCTTCAAATATCCTGCCCAGAACATTCATGTAGTAGTCAGTAACCAGACTAAATCAGTTCATACCAGACTAAACCAGTTCATACCAGAATAGCTTTATCACTGTTCATATGTTGAAAGCTTTAAGAAGCTGAAAGGATGCCCAAGTATAGAGGTAGCTCACAATAAGAATGCACATAGTGGCCAAAAGAAAGGCCCAGCTGGCTGGAGTCCTGTTTCTGCTCTCCAGTAGTGTATGACTAAAGAAAAAAATTATTAGAGACTGTTCCTTCTTTGTGCCTTCTCTCAGTCAGTAGTGCTGCAAGCTTCCTGAGCTGCAAATTCCAACCAATTCAATGACTTTAACAGCTGCAGTGGGTCAAATATCCTTTGAAAGCAGTATGTTGTAAAAGAAACTGGTTTGCAGAGAGCCCTTGCAGAAAATTACTTGTTCAACCAGTAGGGGTGATTTGATAACCAACAATATGTCTGGATTCCTGATCACCTTTGCATAAGTTGGAGCAATTCTTATCAGGAGCACAAGAGCGGTAAATAAAAATTCATACTCTTGCCTCACTTGCACCACATTTATATTTTACATTGCTGAATGAATGCACGCAAAATGTTTGCTTGACCATAAGGGTTCAGCGTGCTCCACACAGGCGTATGTGGTGGTAATGGAACTGGCCTTCGATGAGTTACTGATGTTACAGAAGAGAGCCAACTGTCTAGTACTCCTTGCTAATCTCCCCTGAGAAACCTGGGAAGGCATGTAATTTAACAAAGATTACTAACTCATTGTCCTGGTTCCGGCAGGGATGGGGTTAATCTCCCCCGGAGCCGGCAGGGGGCAGGTATTCCATACCACGTGACCCATGCCCGGGCTATAAGAGGCGCTAGCCGGGGCGAGGAGAGGAGTCGCCACTAACTCATTTAAAGCTAACTCTAGATCTGAGGAGTGCTACCTATTATATTTCGGTCCAAAGCCTGTTGTTCATTTCAGTGCCCAGTCTGGCCCAAACAAAACAGCCCTTTAAATTCAGACAGAAGAAAGACTCTCCTTGAGACTTCAGGTTTGTAAGGCTAAAGATGAAGGTTCTGACAACCTGAATTCCACTTCAGCCTCATTGTACAGTGCTTCCTATTAACCACTCATCTCTGAGGACCTACCAGCTGGGAACAGAAAATGCTGGTCATGAGGATTTGAATGTAATTTATACCACCGGAATCTGTGCTCATGCAAAAGTTGTAATGCCTACTGTAAGCTTTCAGAAGCCCTAAAAGACATAAAACCCAAAGTCAATGAAGTAGAAAATCAGTGATGGGAGAGCTGCATGGTAGGGTAAGACTATCTCAGAATAGATAACATACTGCACTTGTTAAAAGATCATTTCTCTTGGAGAGAGAATATCAGACAAAAAGTTTACTTCTAAGGGGAAGAAAGGAAGACAGAAACATCATTAGCAATCTATGTTTGTGATTTGTGGGTTGCTGGAGGCAAAAAGCAATATTTTTAAGGAAAGACATATGATGTGACAATTTTATGATAAAAAACGGAGTGAAGAGAAACAGAAGAAACGATACATCTTGATTTTTTTTCTAAAACCTATATCTCAGGCTCCATTTCTGTCACCAGTGCTAATAAGTTAGGTGGTCCTTGTTGAA